TCCACGTACAGCCAAACAAATAAGGCGCTGCTCTGCGGGGGAGGAGGGAGCGGGCGGGGAGGGACTCTGGCTGCTAGAGGCCCCAGTGGCTGCGAGCGGCTTTCAATCAGGCACAGCCGTCCAGTCAGCCACACCGCACTCTGCATGAGGGGAAGGGGGAAATCCCGGACATTTCTACCTTATTAGAAATCCTCCCCTCGGACGGCCATTTAAAGCTAAAATAGCTGGACATGTCCGGGGAAACCCGGACGGATGGTAACCCTAATTCATTTCCATAGATATTTAGTTTATGGGTAAAAATACAGGTGTCTGAAGTTATAACTGGCAACTGAACCGCTAGAGAACATATGATCAGTAAGATAGAAGATAACACAGCATCACTCTTTGCTGCTATGCATGAGGACGCTTCAATTTCTGTCCTCTCAAATGCAGGAAAGTTGTCATGGTGAAGACAGCCATGGGGCAGCGTCTCTTTAAACAGCCTCCTGCTGGCCAGTCTAAAAAAGAGAATTGATAACTGCCTTAGGTCGCATTGATTTCAGTGAAACTACTCACAAACTGGTTCATAACTTTGTCTAAATCTTAGCGGAATCGGGGCTACAGGTCCCAGTTCTGCAATAAGCTCTGTTCAGGCAGATGCCTACATCCACGTAGATGACTGACTTCAGTGTGGCTCCCATAGGGCTGAATGGGCTACCTATGTAGAGCTTGTTGCAGGACTTGTTGAGGCCTAAAAATTATACAGTGGGGGTGTGGGTAGTCAAATGAGAAACTATAATTAAGAGAAACTGTTATGTTCCAAGAAGGAACATATCAGTTTCTTTTTTTGTGATAAAATCACTAAGACGTCGGACCAAGACCAATCATTCTTTCCTATTATAGTTAGTGAATTATTGTATAACCTTTAAAATGTGGATTTTTGTCCTTTGTGGTACAATTTGGGAAGAAATATCTAAATATTTGAATTTTTGTTTCAGTAGCAATTGACAGTGTGCGATTCTTTCTTTAGGTAATTCATGTTTTTATATATTCACTTTAACTTATGTCTGTGTTTTTTTTTTTTTTTTTTTTTTACTCTAAT